GAAGTGAGACAAATAGAAACCGTAAAGGTTAACCAAATGGAAGGATCAATCCATCGATGAGACAGAAAGAACCCATCGATGAAATGAAACCGAATTGGAGATGATAAACCAACGATGAAAGAATCCAGAAATAAAAGGAAGAAGATTATGAAAGCAAACAAGAATGGGGGGTGATGTATAGGTGGAGTGGACAATGACCATCCACCTCCACCTCACCACCACCCCACCCTAATGCCACCTCCAACCACTCCTCCGACCCCCTTTTCGAAGTCTTAGAAGTTACCAGCAAAATGTCAAAACGACAAATGAACCCGAGTTCAAACCAACGAATTCAGATTATAAACCTGTAAAGGAGATATGTAGATTAGTCCTGGAAGAAAATTGATTAGTAAGGGGAACGATGAGGCATAAAAAACCAACGACGAAATAAAATAAAACGAGAAAATAAAACATAAAAAAAAACTATTAAAAATGACTTACTGAAGCCAGGGCTCCCACCTCTGACCCTCAGGAAGGTCATCAAGGCCCCCTGGTGATGGTCCGGAAGTGCCTGGTCCAGACCCCGAAGTGTCCCGTCCGAGGTCCACCCGGCCAAAGGAGCGATCAGTCGTGCGGTGCCCTTTATATATGACCATATGTGACCCCCCACCGGTTTCCGAAATCGGTCGAAAATTTCCGAAGTTTGTCGATTTCATTCGTAATTACTTTTCCTCTATAATATTCGATATTTTTTTAATTTTTTTCACTTGCATTATAAATATACTTCGCGAGCAATTTGTTATCAACAATATTAATTTGTTATTAACAAAAATTTAACAGTAACTATATTTCTGCACTACTTACATAACTATGCTTTCATAGTATAAATTCCCGTGATATATATTTAACAAAGCATAGTTATTACATCTCGAAGCTTAAAAAAATTGTGTTAATTAGTGGTTAATTAAAGGTCGTAAAAAATAATCAGTATACATGCACATAAAAAGTTACATATATTGCAGTTAATTATACGAAATTAGTAGTTCGGGGGTATAAAATTTACGTATAGAAGAATTTTATTACACAGATTATTATTTAATAATAATTTTTGAGTTTGTATAATTCGACTTTTAATGCGATTAATTTTTAATTAATTCAATTTCATGTAAATATTATTCATCGATCTCTACATATATCTTCCCTAGTTTTCATCCTTCGTAAGGAACGTATCGAGCATAACAATTCTCCAAAATTTTTTCCATAATCATACTTGCAATACTTTTTAACCCCCACTTCATACTCTTAAATAACGCAGCTTTATTTTCGTTCGAACGAATGATCGAACGAGACTCTGCGAAGACGCTCGATCCGGAAGCGATACAAGGGGATGAAGGGGGTGGTATACAGCTGCAGTCACCGATGTCTTTTTTCCGGTCACGTATCACGACGGTTTTTCAACTTGCTTATATGAAATACTTTCGTTCGGTTCTGCAAACAAAACGTAACACTGCAGATAAATTTCGCAAACAGGTATTTCATATTATCCGAGGACACGGTAATCTCGCCGGGAATGATAAATAATAGCTCGCGATAAAAGTTTAAACAACGATTTTACCTCGACCGGCACGGCTACTGCGTTTCATTTTCCTTTCCTTTTCTCTTGCCTTATTTCTTTTCCCTCTCGCTTTTATTTCCATCGTTACCGCGAATATTCACGTTCGATAGAGTAAATCGAGTTTCCCATTTTGATACGCGACTGTTCGACAGTCAAAAGGAGGTAATTAATATTTGCAGAAAAATTCGTTGAAAACCACGAATCGTAGGAGCTCGCGAAAAAGGATAAATCGAGTAGGCTGTCGAATATCCAGTTTCGTGGAAAACTTCTGACGATCTGCTGTCATCGGAAAATAGGTTGATTAGGATAATGAACGGTTTGAATTTTGCGGGAGATCCTCGAAGGTGGATCTCGCTGCTGCTCGATGGGAATGGTAGATTGTTTAAGAAGCAATGATTCCGTGAGTCGATTAACGGCTTCAATTTTATTAATATAATTAATTATTAGTGTCGTTATCAATCATGACTGCTGGTACTCGCGTTAATCTTCGAGACATTGCTCCTGCATGGCTTGGAGTAATAGGATGATACATACCCCATTAGAAATTTTATGATACACGTGACATTTTCTATCATATATATTACGCAAAGAAATAGAGGAAAATAAATAGTATTTTTATTTTTATTATCCCCTATTAACCATATGGTCTATATTTTATTTTTCCAACTTCAACTCGATTTAATTAGTTTCTAATAACAACTTATTATATTTTTCTTAGTATAATTAGGGTATTAATTTTTGGACTTCACATTGAATTAAAAAAATCCTAACCAGTTCTAATATTTTTCCCAGAATCAAAGAAAATTCTGATCACAAAGAGTTAACATTAATCCTACCACGACCTAAATAAACATTTTCAAAATCTTCATGAAAAATTCCGTATTCAAAGTTATCGTTTTTCTCTGATATCCGTGTGATTAATTTTTCAATATTTTTGTTTTCGCAGTTTTTGTTCAGAATCTTTTATTTCCCCATCTACAAGTCATTTGATTGGCCGTGGTAGGTTTAGTGTCAATGAAAATACCCTTTTCATAACTCCACGAAGATTGTCACGATGGTCACAACTTTTTCTCACTTGAGTCACCATTGATTCTTCTTTCCCCAAAAATTACCCCAAAAATCGAAATCCACCCTCCTCCTTTTTTTATCAGTAAAATTACCAACCCTGGTTCACAATTCTCCTACCCATAGTCATCAACGTTGTGTTCTCAATTCCAAAGTTTCTTCTGAAAGTGAGAATAATAGAAATAAAATTTAGGAAGCTCGATAAGATCATAGACGCGGCCGACTGGTCGGATTTTTAATCGATTTTTCTCCTTGATCGTGCCACTGCACGCATAACAATTCCTCTTCTCCGCTTCTCTGGTTTTTAATGTACGGCGACGACCGGTCAGATTTTTAATCGATTTTTCTCCTTAATCTTGTCACCACACTTTTCCCCCCAAAATTACCCCAAAAATCGAAATCCACCTTCCTTCTTTCTTACTCACAGCGTGACATAAAACTAAATATTATCAATAAAATTGCTAACCCTGGTTCACAATTCTCCTACCCATAGTCACCAACGTTGTGTTCTCAATTCCAAAGGTTCCTCTGAAAGTGAGAATAATAGAAATAAAATTTAGGAAGCTTAGTAAGATTATCACGCGACGACCGGTCGGATTTTTAACCGATTTTTCTCCTTGATCGTGCCACTGCACGCATAACAATTCCTCTTCTCCGTGTCGCTGGTTATTAATGTTTACGGCAGGGTGGCCAAAATTGTGGCTCGAGTACGAGGGTGCAGGAGGGTGTTGGTGGGTGCAGGAGGTTGGCTGCGTATTATTTGAATTCAGTTCGACCAGATTATTCGGTTTGATTAATCAACAACGCACAACGACGGTGTGTCTCAAAAGATAGCCGGGGCCGAGGAGTTATGCACACAGGGACAGCGATGAGTTATTGCTGTCGCGTTACCGTGGCCTGTTGTCCCATTGTTTCTATTATTACATACGTCAAACGCGCGAATGAATTATGCACGCCGGTGAACGCAGAAGTTGATTCGCCGGGCTAACGATGTTCCTTGCTTGTGTATTACAGATCAAAGTTTCCACTGTGTTCGCGTTTCGAGTTCCCTGTTCGAGGAAGCGAGGTGTTGTATACCTACAGATTTATATCTAATCTTTTGTAAACGCCGTCGCCTCCGCAACAGCAGGTATACAGTCCTCCCTTACAATTAGTTTTAGACCTTTGTTACCCTTCACCCTTGCCCTTTGCACGGTATTCCTTTCCCAGGTCCTCCCACGTCATTCTTAGTTCCTGCATTATGTATCTAGGGATTATCCTCATTTAAATCCACCGTGGATAATGGTTTAGAAATTCGAGAAGGAACGACGCTTTTTTAATAACAATCGCGGTTTTATTTTAATTGAAATATTATACTCATTCGCACAAACGCTCTCGCTCACTCTCTCGCTTTCTTTATTCTTTTTCATTCTAATTCTTAAGTTTTAAGGACATATGTAAATTTTCACTGTTATAGATAGTTCTTCCAGTCGATCCTCTTGCACATACTATTCATGATCTTCTGTATAATGTCTTTATACGAAGATACTTTCGTCCTTCTGCACGCACTCTCTGATATTAGCCTAACAGGCCTAAGTAAGCCTAAATAGCCCAGATATTAACTCGGACTGAACCCGAGGCTGTCATTTGTTGACACTTATTTTCATGGAACGATCTAAGGGTTCCCATACATTCCCTCTTTTATAACTATATTCCAAATACTCTTCACATTCTCTCAGAATCCATCAGAAATTTCGTTAAATTCGGAAAAAATTAATGGGAAAAAGAAATCGGGGACGGTGAGAGAATTTTAGAGAGATTGTGGGAAAATAGGGAATATTTGGGAATATTCCGATATTTTAGAATAATAGAATAGAGAGAAGATGATCTAAGAATGGTCAATATTATATTTTGATCAGAATATGGTATCGATATCTAAATAAATTTCCATTTTGGAAAAATACATTAAATGGAATTTATAGCGATAGGGAAGATGAGTAAGTGATTTAGGAACCTACAAATATTTTTAGTATTCCGGATTTAGAAAGGGTATGTCGAATATAATTTAAAAGAAGGGTTAAAGGAAATTCCGATATTTTTATTGGTGAAATAAAAAATAGCGTGAAAATACTCGGACGTATGCACAGGAACCGGCAATTTTGGCAGTCCCGTATTCGTGTTCAGTGTACATAAAAGAATGGTGTACAGATATCCGAACCTAGCAGGGGGTTGTAAAATCACCCCTTCGTGGCGAGCAGACGCAAAGTCGTGGCGCGTCTGCGCGTAATAAGTCGATGCAATTTGTACGTTCTTTATTGGACGCATTTGTATTTGGTTAATTACATTGTTACACCGACGGCCATTACTTCGACGCGGCCGAGTTAATGGCACGATAATACACTTTTGGTAACCGGCTCCGCCGCCATTCAGTCTGCGCCTGGAACATGCACGCGCGAATTTCTCTGAACGGGAGCATTCCCTTTCAAACGATGGCTACGAGGGTAAACGAATTTTTACCCGCCTTGCCATATATTTTTTCCTTTTTTCACATTCTTTCTCCTTTTTTCCCCCTTTTCAGCTAGGAAGAATAATGAGATTTTTACGATCTTTTTAGCGCGGAATTTCTTTCAATTAGCACTTCGAGCTCGAATTTGGGACCTTCGATTACGAAATTCGAATAGCAGATTTTGCCAACCATTAAAAATTATCTCGTTCAAATTATTTCTTGGGGATTACTAATTAACGTAGCCTTAGAAATTCAATGTTAAATTACAGTAGCGTGTATTAAATGATACTAGTAATAATTCTAGTGATATATGGTGATTTTGGACACAGAGAGTAGTAATGGAAATTTTGCAAAGTACTATTATTGCTTGCTTTTTTTCTCATTATCATTTATCATTACCGATTTCTCGTCTAGAAGTTAATAATATCGAAAATTTCGACGAGGGTGAAGGGGTTTATAAAATAAAATTCACTCCTTTCTCAGGCTTTCTCTATAATTAGCTTCTAATTATATCCTCTTGCAAAATGATCTCGCGGATTTACGCGAGGAAAGGATAAAAGTTTCGAGATTTCACGTTTCATTCGTTGGAAATAAATTTAGAACGTGAAATACAAACGAGAAAAGACTAATACTTCTTGTCAATACTGCCTGCAATTCAATTATATTTCTTGGAAATATTTTTTCCAACAACTTTCCCTAACTTTCTTGCCGTCTATGCTCTACATTCGCTACCTCGTTAGCGTCAGTTTACATCTTGTTATTGAAATTTATTTACAACCTAACTAACGCGAAAATATCGACGACAACTCTAAGTCCGACGAGCTCCTCGATATCTTCTCTATTTCTCTTTCCTTTCTACAATTTCCAGCTTTCTCATTGACCACTTTGTTAGGGCTTCTTTACATCTTGTTATTCCAGTTTCATAACAAACCCAACTAACGCGAAAGTGGTATCAGTGGTACAAAAGTCCAGCGAACTTCTCGATATTCTTCCTACCCTTCACCCTCCGCACTTCGCATTAATTATTAACTCGTTTACATTTCGCTGCTCTGGATCTTCCAGAAATCGGACCGACGAGGACAGAGCCGAATCAGATTAATTGAAAAAGGAAAGAGGAAAAATATAGGACAAGATTATACGAATTATACGAATAAATCCGATACACACCCCAAATGTATTTTTTCCAATTATCAAAATTCCTTAAATTTGAAGAACAGTAAAATTGAATTGGCATCGGGTTCTTTTATTTTCACAATTAAACAGCTAATTTTAACGACAAAGTTTGTTTTAGATATAAAAGGTTGAGCATTAAGCAAGTTCTCTGGCAGTGAAATTAACCCTCTGCACTCTACTAACGCCATCTAGACGGTGTTGATAATATGCAAATTTTAATTTACTTCCATTTTCGAGAAAGGGTGTGCTGGAGATTTTGCTATAGTCGTACTTCAAAATTTTTCAAACGCAATGTATTTAAAAAAATATCTTCAAAAAGCGAAATTAATCATTCTTATCTGCGAATGGCCCCAATAAAAGTCTATTATTCATATAAATATAGTACACAGTAGATTTATCATTAGGGTGTAATTATGCCATACTCGTGTACTATATTTATTCGTTAAAAAATACACGTTTCATTGCTAATCGAGGTGAAATTGATCACTTTCACCTGCGAATTGAATACCGCGTAAATGAACGTAAAATGAAATTCGACGCGTCTGGTGAAAGATAAAATCCCCAGTCACTAGTCGAAAATCCCTATCGTCTTATGAAACGTAATTATAAACGCAAGATCGTGTCCCATCGTCTGCCTCGTGTTAGCTGTTGTCTGGCGTGGACAGAAAAGTTTCCAGACACTTTTAACGCCCGCCGGCGAGATATACTTCAAGTTCGCGCGATGTATATCTGCAGCCGCGCGAATTTCCGCGAGTTCGTCCTAATTAACAAGATGAAAATCGCTCTCGTCCCTTTCGGTCGTGGCCCGCCACGGGTCCCAGCATTTAATCGTTTTAATCTAATTTTCAGAAGCACGGGCTTGCTCGTACGCCCCGCGTATTATCGCGCCGCGAAATCTCGCTTTTTCCACCCCCGGCAACCCTCGGCTGGCGTTCGTTTCTTGCGACGAATTCCGTTCAACGTGCCACCACGCCGAGGTTGAATAGCGAGTTAAGTTGTCACGCGAACCGCTGAATGAACATCATACGTCTTATCTGCGTGATATATTCTGTCTATTAGCGTGGCCATCGCGTTGTTAAAAATGCGATGAAAAGCCTCCAGGATGAGCTGATGTAATTTCGGGGTGGATACCATTGCGAGAAGGATCACAGGGTGAACGAGGATCGTCTTGGGGAAGGTTAGGTATCCACTCGTGACGGTCGCAGGAGATTTTCTTGGATCAAATGCTAATTTTGTCTTTTAGGCTTTGGAACTTTTTTTTCTTCCCTTTTACTCCGTTAATCCGTTTATAGAAGATCTAATTTTAATTCCGAGGAATAATTAACTAATAAAAATCGAGGTTATTCGTTTCGCATGAAACCGAGATCGCGTATATTGTATAACGGGAAGCACGTAGGTAAAAATGTAAAAATTTAATTTCCTATATTTCTAGGGCCTTGGGGGAAGAAGAATGTATTGGTGAATTCGAAAAATTATGTGGGAGCATTTTTAAATACCCAGCAAATATGTTATAGTTTAGTTATAATGATTGGTTTAATTTGCTGAATCAGATCTTCGATGTTAGGCTGATTTTGCAGAATTTATAAATACTTTAAATAATTTGTGAGTAGAAATATTTCGATATTAAATTTCACGAGTCAGAATAAAATTCTCAGGAGTTCTTTAAAGTCCGAGGAGATTCTATTCATCCTGAGAACAATTTATAATTGTCCAACTAGAAATCCTTGTTTAGGGTACAGTAAAGGACTCCTTTACACGTCCAGCGAGAAAAATGTTCTCCGGAAGGTGCGGAAAAAAAGGTCCTTTTGTCCAAACCGTAAGGACTGGTCCCCACTCTACCCTTAACGGCTATGTCAATTTCTTAAATTAACTACACCCGACTACCTAGCAAATAAAAACTATCTCGTTTATCAGCAGGGCTATGTCCCAATGGTAATAAATCGACTCGCAGAGAGTCGATCTCGATCTCGATCCCAATTAAACGTCGCGAAGTGCAAACTCTTTAAACTCCACAAAGTTCCTGGAATCAAGAGAAAATTCTTAAAGACCCAGCGAAGAAATTCTCTCTTTAAAGTCCAACAGGAAAATTCTCCTATTTAACTCTGCCTTATACACCTTGTTCACTTTCAGCTGTATCCTCGAAATTTAAATCACTGCAAAATCGTATCTACTCTTCGATGCAGGTGGCCTTATAAATATTCCAATATTCCCGAAGCATCCTCTGCTAACTTAATCAACCCTGGTTACTAAATACTAGAAAATCCCTAGACGAACGATTCGAGATAATTCGAGTAACGGGTTAATTCGTCTTTCCAAGTTAACGACTTAAGAAATACGCCATTTACAAGCCTCTCACCTACAATCGCAGTGTTTTCTTTGCTCCTTAGGATTTATCAGCGATTTCCTCGAGTTAAATGCCACGTTCGGCCATTTAATGGAAAAAACACATCGTAAATGAAACTCGCGGCAGTGAAAGTTCAAGATAGAGGTTGAAAGGCGAGCTTCATTTTATTTCGACCCTGTTCAGCAACTCACTGGAGCTTCGAGATTGCAAGCTCCACTACGCGATGATCCACGATGATATTTAACACCCTGGTCTTGACTATACTAAACCTAACCAGACTTAGCTGAAATCGAGTGATTCTATGTTTGATTTCTGTTTCTTGGTGTATTTTGTGTATCTAGATACATGTTTCTCTTTTGTTGGTCTTGCGTCATAGAGGAATGAATTGTGAAACTGGAGAAGGATATAATGCTTCAACTGATAGCTGCTTAAGGGATCGGTAGATTATGGGAAGCTTGGTAGTGGTCTATCCGTCTAGTCTCTGTCATGTCTGAGTACAATCGAACGGATCAGGGCGAGAAGCCCTAACTATTGCCGTCAGTGCACATGATTATTGCGAGTCTAGCGTCCAGATTCATCAACGTAATGCTTGACTACGAAGATATGTTAGAACTCAGAGTGCAGCGGAATAGGTAGGAAAATGAGCGAGTGAGGAATTTTGGGTGAACGTGACAAAACGAATGAGAAAGGTTGAGAATCAGAATGAAAGGGAATGAAAGCGTGAGGGTATATAGGGTGCGAAAGAAGTGTACATAAGGGTAGTTCTTGAGTGAGAGTCCTGAGAGCAAGAGAGTCAGTTCAGTTAGAGTCCTGGGGTTGTCTCGAAGTCGAGTAGAGCCTAGTAAGAGGTCTGAGTGGAGTAGAGTCTACTGACAGTTCAAGTTGGAGTCTGTGATATCTTTTATTCTACATCAAACTGTTATTGTTACTAAACAAACGTCATTACTTCCTGTCCTTCTAAACCTTTATTCACCAGGGATTTAATAAGCATAATCCCTATACAATGTACATAACAATTGTGTACTTACCCCAACGTTTTGTCAACGACAATATCGTACGAGACTCGTGGTAAGGAAATCGGGTCGAACACGAGTATCACGAGTGAGATACATGATTTGCAGACAGAGTCCAAGATAAACAACATAGGTCAGGCTCGTGGTTCATTTTCGTCGATCTTCTACCTCGGTTACGTGTTATTTTCGAAATGGTTTCACATGTGACCGACTTTGCTGTTGATTATGGTACGACTATCGGTGCTGAAATCGTAGAGCAAGGGTTTAGGCGAATTCAGGCGAAAGCATCTCATCATGATCGTGCAAATTCAAACAAAACCATCAGTGCCATCAGTGATCGGTCCGTCATCGGTCTACGTTCAACATTCTCGAACTAGGAACGATATTTCCTGTGTTCAAACACGATCCAACATCGCGGCCATCAAAACAGTGTTCTGGATAACGTCTGATGGTGTTTGAGCCGTAACGCTATGCAGAGGAGAGAGCTATATCCGTCTTCGTTTCACCAATGCGTTTGTCGGAGACGGGACGTGTCTGAAGGGATAATGTAAACTGCCCTTAACACGTGGCAGGCTACGTGCTTCGACACTGTCAGTGGCTTCGACACTTTGACTTCAACCCTCGGAAGCGGCGGCGATATCCAACGCGAAGTTCGGAGTTTCGACAGAGCGTCGGGGTGCTTATAAAAGCACGATAAATGGAATTTCAGAAACCAACGCGGCTTAATAATTACCCTTCCTGCCGATGTAACAGGGATGCCCTTTTTAACAATTCCACCAGCAACATTTTTAACGCGTTTTTTAAGCCTCAAATTCGAGGGGAAAAATTGCGTTGGTAAATTTAATCGGAGAATATTTGCACTCCTGAGGGATATTTGACGCTTTGGTCTTCCCTTGTATCTATCTTGCTCGAATAATACGGCAAGAGATATCTTTGTCTGCCTGATGAAGGTTTTACCTACGCCCACTACCGTGCCATACTGATGACCCGCGTGGATGTTTTAGTATGCATATTCATTAGCGAAAATATTGTAGGAGGAAGACTTTGTGTCAAATATTTATTTTTCGCCAGATGAATTCTTTTATTTTCGAAGAAAATTGTTGTCGACTGTACGAGAGCAATTTTTCAATTGTCTTCAGTTAATAGAGGAAGTTTGGTGGAGAGACTGTTGGTTTATTTGCGATTTGTCAGTTTAATTGGCAGCAATAATAGTACTCAGGCGATAGAAAAATTGTTGAACGTTGGAAAATGATGGAAATGAATGTTTCCTGTTCCATTCAGCTCTAAGTTATTCGTTATTAAGAAGATAGGTTATTTCACACTTTCGAGTAGCAGGGTGAATGAATATTGGACTACTTTGAAGTAATGAAACCATGAATCTCTCATGCAACTAACAATGTGCACGTACACGAAGAATGGATAGCTAGAGTTCCATCCTATTCTTTGAATTGTTAATATAAATCCTGGGTAGATTCGAATTTCGTAACGAAATCATATCGAAGATTTAACACGAGGTCACTAAAAACGTTTCAACCCATTCAAATTTTCTTAACTTTTCGTCATTTCCTCTCAAAAATAATTAATTACTCTCGCTATTTTTATCGAAGATCTAATTAATTAATTCAACGCGTCTCTTTTATTTCATCACGTATCTTTAAAATAATTATTTGTTATTAGAAAATAGATAAAAATAATAAAACTCTCGAATGAATATTCATTATAAAATCAACGAAAGGTTTGAAATTTCCCAAAATTTGTGGCCAAGAGTGTAAATAAATTATAGAGGCGTAATAATTAACAATTTTTTCCATTCTGGAAGATATTCTAGCCATAAGTTCGGTTCTAATCATAGACTCGCTAATTCAAATATTACATTTGGCGAGGTAAAAAAGGAGAAGGAGGAAGGAAAACACGAAAGTCAGTGGAACCTTGGTGAATTTTGCGCATCTTACCTCAGGCTTTAACAGCTTGTTGATGCAGTTGATTCTGCTGCTCAGAATCTCCAGCTCGAGACGTTCCTTACAGAGCTGTCGAAACACACACACACACACAGAGGGAGAGAGATAGAGAGAGAGAGAGAGAGCTTAAGTCGCGTAACTTTACCGTAAAGGGAGTGAAATTTATTCGAGAAACGCAACCCACCATTTTCTTCGTCTTCTCCTGGAACACGTCGGTCTGCTGCAGCTGGAAATCAGAAAGCAATTTACCATTTACCGTAACCGTATTGTTGCCGTCCGGGACCACGGAGCTATCCCGAGGCAAAACAACGAAATGCACTTTCGGCAAGGTACACCGGACTGGAAACGAACTTACGTGCTTATGAATACAATTGTAGATCGGCCTGATGTCCGCCACGCTTTTCTTCCGTGGAATTTTCTGCAAATTAAACGCGATTAATGATCACCAGCCGCGAGACTAACTCGAGGAATTATCCAGGTGTCCACTGGGTACCTTCTCTGCCTCCTTCTGCAGCTCCTCGAACTTCTTCTGCTGAGAGATCGTCGCTTTTGCACTCTACCATCGATTAATGAAAATTACAGAAAATTAGTCAAGATTAAAGAAAATTAAGGAAAAGCAGTGAAATTTAAAGCAATTTAGAGAAAATTGGTGGAAATTAATAAAAATGAATAATTGGCTGATTTTTGCTGTATCATAGGTCACTAGATGCTTTCGCGTCATACTATACAGGGTGTTCACGTTATTACTAGTCAGCAATTTTTTCGAAAACTATTAATAAATTATATAATTAGAAAAAAATGTTTTATAGTTTTTTATGATCAATAGAATAGTGTATATCAATTGTGCAAAGTGTACAAAGTGTGCAAACACACGTGGATTGAATTTAGTAATAAGTAACGAATAATTAGGTGTTTCTGAATGTACTATCACGCGGTGAAGGAAAGACCTCGAAATAAAATTTCTTAGTCATCGATAATGGTTAAAAATCTCGAATCATAGAAAATTCGTTACAGAGAAAATTTGGAGAAAAATTTTCCATGTGTCGATGAGTTTCTAACAGCCTAATAATTTAGAAAGCGTAGAACACAAATCAATTTCCCGAAAGTCTATGTCGACAGGCTACTTTAAAAGCGAAGAACATGCCGAATCGGATGGGAAACGGGATAAATAAAATGGCTGGCAACTTCGTGCTTGATCAAATTAACCTTTCTCACCGTTCATTTAACCGATAAAAACTTTCGATCTTGCGCTAATCAGAACGGCATGGGAGGAAACGAGGAAAGCGAAGAGAGGAGAGAAGCGATGCAAACGGAAGAATGGTAATTGCCAGACATGTTATCGGTGATACTTACGCGTCTAAATCAGATTAATTATCTAAATTCGATATTACGCTACCTGTTCGACGAAACGATCAATTCCACGAAATAAAAGGCAGAAATTTATTTGAACGATAAAGGAAGTTGAGTATCGATCAATTGCTTTGGTGATGAAATTTTAAGGAGTTCGAAAACTAGAGTTAATCACTTTGACCTGAGCATGAATCAATTGACGAGCACGATTCTAGGCTAACGAAGCATTAAATCGCGAAGTAACCTGCGAGACGCGTTGTTATAAAATGCGATTTTAATTCGTTTATTACTCTTGCTCCTTTTTCTTCCTTCTTCCAATGTTTTCTCCGTTTGAGAAACGAACATTTAATATTTGATGGTGTTGGGATGGAGAGAATGGTCGTAGAGATTTATTAACCCCTTGCACTCGACGAATTTTTGGCTAAAGAACAGTAGGAGTTCGAAGATTTTCTGCTATAAAGTTGACGATATTTCTTTGAGCAGTGAATAAGAAATAGTATAGCAATTGACACGTAGAATTATTTGATTTCCATACCTCGCACATCGTTACATTATCTTAAATTTGATATATTAATTAACATTGGTCTTCGAAATTTTATCAAATGGCGAATGAAGGGTGCCTCTCGAGTGTAAAGGGTTAAAGAAATGATTATGTAGGAAAGGAGTAATAGAATGAATAATTAGCTTATTCTAGCTTATTTTTTCTTATTATTTTATTTTTATTTTATTTCATTTGTAATTCAAAATTGACGATCGTGTGTGAGACAATCCAACTGATATTATCGATCGGTATTGAGAAAATGATTATAGGAATGATATGAGAAATGAGGGACATCGAGATGATTGAAATTTATTCAGTACTCGATCATAAAACTTTAATTAATTTTTCTTGGTTCTATAGAACAGTGACTAACATACAAATTTAGGGTCTCGATGATCAAATAATAGGTTATGATAGCAATATTCATTTCGTGTATTTTATGTCAGGCATATACTTACTGATAAAAGTTAAGAAACATAGTGATCATTTGGTAATTTCGGTATATTTTCTATCTTCTATTCTAAGATACATAAATTGAAACTAAAAATAGCATAATAAGATAACATACTATACTTACCTCAACATCCTATTTTTCACTTTTAGTTTCAACATATGTATCTTAGAAGATAAAGAATATACTGAAATTGTATAATAATATAACGATTGCATTGTTTCTTAACTTCTGTCATGAGAAATTCCTCTATCATGCTTTAATGATAAAACGTAATAGCAATTTTATATCTATCCCCACTAATATTCCAATCTACCTGGATACGCTAATAACCACGAAATCAGGAATACTTTTGAAAATACCTCGGAAGACGCAAGATACTTTGGCAAGCTGCACACACGATCTCCACGCGAAGTAGTTTCGTATCACTCGCACTCCAGTCAAATTGCTCGCCAGATAAGAAAATGGAAAACAACCCTCGTGGCAAGAACTAGCAGACTCACCACGAGTGACCAGACAACGATGACCATCAGCATGATCCAGGTAACGAACGTAACGATCCCGCAATGCGGACCCATGTTAAGCATGTGCCTGAGCTTAGCATCCGTCAGCAGATACTGATACAGCTGCAACGAGAAAAAGCGAGTTTCCATCCGAACGACTGCACATCCTCGAAACGCATCGGTGCAATCTCTTATCCAGCAACTGGACAAGCGATAGACACGGGATTTTCTACGAACCAGCCATCGCGGACCGAAACTGTTGAACCCCTGGTACCTCTGGTACCTCTGTAACTTGGCGATGTCCATGACGTCGAGTGTTGGTCCCGCGAAGCCGATAATTCGTCGTGGTTGTCACGGGCATCACGCGAATTTGGACCTCGCCACGGGAGTCGAAAAAAGAACTGACAGCTTTGTCGGATCGTTTGACAGAAAATGGCCGACCATCGCCCATTGTTCTTCCCCGTTTCGATATATGTCTATCGATCGATCGCGGCCAACGATAGCGGTAAACATCGACGAGACAAATTGATGCGGCATATTCAAACAACGTGACGATAATCCGGGAAGAACGAACCCTCGTAACGACGTTATCTCTTTCAACGATCTGGCTTCCGGCCGGCCGATTCCATGGATCCGTTCACCTGTTCCTCTACGCGTATTTGCACGGACGTGGTGGATGGGAGGGCAGGCTGGATCCCGTGTTCCTTTGCAATAATCGCGGCAGGCTTATTTAATTTTTCCACCGGTACTGTTTGCGGTTCGATCGCGGCCGACGAAATGAAGGAGAAGTTGGGGGCGCTTGGGTCTCGTTGGTTTTTATCGTTAGCCGCCTACACCGGCGGATTCCTTCGATTTAATAATGAGTTTGATTGTGTTTGCTCTTTCTTGTTGTTCCTTCTAATGGATTTAAGTGCTTTCGGAATGTCTCGCGTGAAAATAGCTGATCCTCGAGGATATCCTCGCTTTGGCGGCGGGCTTCGGGGTGGTTATTGTTTTGCGAGAGATTAAGGTTAGAAAAGTTTTCAGTCTTCTTTTTCGTGGCTACGAGAGGCTTTGATGTTGTTCTTACTGTGAAAATTTTATTTTCCCTGGTAATAAAAATGGAAAGTGTTTTTTTGACGTATTTGGAACACAGGCTTGTGTTTTCCTACTTCGCTGTGAGAAGTTAGGTTTCTGTTTGAATAGTTTGGCGTTAATATTCTAGTAAATACTTGGAAATATTATTTCGAATATTCTAAAGCGTGCTTTGGTTCTTTAAAAGGCAAATAATCGACACAAACGGGTTTCTATTAATTCTGTTACTCTATTATTTTATTATTCTATTATTCTCGTATTTTAAAATACCATTTCAAGCAGTATGAAATATTCGAGTTTTCAGAAAAATGCAAATAGTCGACTCGATATCTAAATCTACCGCCGTTAGGTTTATTAATTACCATCGTAGTGTAATTCTAAGTATCATGCAGTGTATCTTCAAGAATAGAAAATACTTAAATTAGGTCCTAAATTTTCTGTATTCATTTTTAACAATTATATTGTATTACTATTGTCCCAGTACCCTAAATACTAGGTATCTCGAGGATTCAAAAACATTTAATTTGTCAAAATTATCAAACATTCAATTTAGACACCAAATTTACTATACTCCTGTTTTTCAATTCCAATGTTACTCCATTATTAATATAGAACCCTATACTATCCAAGCATCCCAAAATATTTTCGATAAAACCAGAAACTCCCTTCATATCCCAATTTTCCCTACTCTTTACCCTCACTCTTACCTTTCACGAAGCAACCACTCGCCTAAACACGAAGACACCAAATACTCAAGCTAGACCTCAAACATACTACACTCCTCTTCTTTAATTTCACTATTCCACTATTATCCTAGAAACCAATACTACCTAAGCATCCCAAAATATTCTCAAAAATACCAGAAACTCCCTTCGCGTCTCACTCTTCGAACACCCTTCACCCAGACACCTCTCTGCACCATTACCCGCCACTTGCACCCCCACGAGCACCCTCAGCTCCAAGTCACCTACCACCAACGCCCGACATGGCCCCGCGATCCGAAACGATGATGTCCGATGGCAATCGGGGCTCGGGCCGGATGCTTGTCTCCTCTCTTTCGTCGAACTAGCGTCACGGAATGTCGTATTAACCCGACGACGACGGAAATAGAATTTCATGACTATTTGTTGGCCTCGTCCGGACGTCCGAATGGCGTAGTCAGGATATCGGCGCGGCGCCGCGAGATACACCCTGCGCCAGTGTGAGAGACGTCCCTGTAAATTGTGGGGTAAATTGAAAATCTTTCGAAGGGCCCGGCCTTTCCAGGCGTTTTCAACGAGCACGGTTAGCTTCTCTGGCCCTCGATCCTCGTCCCGTCTTTTGTCTAGCAGCCGGTCCGTCCTGTATCTTATCGCGGGATCGGAGTGTAGCGAATGAAAGGATACGTAGAGTAAGGCGTAAAAGGTTTATGTTCGTTGCGATAATACTGGAAACGGCGTGGACCACGCAAGGGTGCCTGGTGTTCGCCTAACTGTGGCCGAAGGTTGCGAGTCCTACTTGGGTGAACGTGGCTTTCGAGGTAAGGGTGAGCAGTCGTGTATCTGGCTGAAACATCTCTGTTATTCCGGGGGATGCGATAAAGAATAATGGCATGAAAGTTGGGTGGTATCAGGGATGGAATACGATGGTAATGAGGGGGTAGAGACCAGAGAAGAGGTATTGGAAATTTCACGATTATTTTTCCCTTAAAGCATCGTATTTTATTTCTGGTATTTATGCGATACGATGACAGTAATTTGTGCAGTTGTAACTGTTTATAATGGAAGGTCGGAAAGGTGTAGGTAAATAATTTTTTGTCACTGGGTTGGTTAGGATGATGGAGGATGCTGGAAAGTTTGGTGTTTACGTACGAGATACGATGGCAGGAATTTGCGCAATATGAATTGTTTGTAATGGACCGTTACGAAGGTGTAGGTAAATAATTTTTCGTGACAGGGTCAATTAGGATGATGGAGGATGCTGGAGATGTTATTGGTTATTGAATAAAAATGTTGAATACGATGGTACGAATTTTTGGAAGGGTAGAGACGTATTTGGGAATATTTAAATTATTCTTTCTTCAAATTACTGTATTTTATTCTCGATATTTGTGAGATGCGATGACAGAAGTTTGCGCAATTTGAATTGTTTATAATGGAAAATTGTAAGGGCGTGGATAAATATTTCTTTCGCGATTGGGTTGGTTAGGATGATGGAGCATGCTGAAGATATAATTAGTTGTATAATATTGCCTGGATTTTTATTCAGGGAATATTTAATTCATTATAATCGAAGAATGAAAGATACGAAGTACTTACATGGAAACGCTTTTCTGAATATTCGTGTAATTAAAAGCTCTTATAGATATGTATGTAGTAGTATAATTCGCGTTACTTATCGGTATATTACACGGGGAGGCACTAATTTAATCTCAAAATTGATCGTTTTAATAAACACCAGTTAATTACTAAAATTCAAGTATTCGATTGAATATTAAATTCAGCAGGTTCAACTTCATTAAGATAAATTTTTTAATTAATTTTGGAACATTTCTTGTACCACAAGAAATTAATAAAATTCGAGACTTTGTTAAGGGTAGTCAACAAAAAAAACTTGGAACTTTAATTCAGTTAATTTTATCACTAACCAATTTTCGTTTTCATTAATTTCCTCCCCATATATATCTCTTTCCCCCATTAATAATTAATAAATAATAATAAGAAATCGGTAATTTTTAAAATTGATAATTATCAAAGAGGTAGTTAACGCGAAAGTTAAATTCGTAATAGGATAGTACTTTAATTTATAATATATCGTAATAGGATTACCTAAACCACCCTATTACGTTGACGTACTAAACCAAATCTCGCGACTGTACATAGGCAATTAATTTAATTCTTCACCGACTCGAATACACTCGCGACTTTATGGGTGAAAGCTCGATACTTGTTTTTCTCTGTACCGCAATAAGTGGAACACAGCAATGAGAGCGTTTTGAAATACGCGAGTGTATGTGTCCTTACGCGTTGCTTTATTACTGAAGGGACTTACAAGCATTACTTATGATAACCTCGTAATATACAGTACGTTCCAGCTGTGCTGCAAATAAACCACACACGGGATAGTTATCTTCCTTTCCTCCTTTTTTCTTCTTTTTCCATTCGTACAGGACTCACGCGTGCTCCTTAATTACGGCCGTTAACTAATTCCTTTAAAAATATGTTGAACGCACGAAGATTATTGTTAATCGTGACCCTCGCATAACGAGGGCGTCTTTTGCCTTCTCGCTTTGTGTAAAAAACACGGCTACCATACAATGTGTTCAGCGGAGATTGTATACTTTTATGTATCACACGTTGCTATCTTCAAATTTTCTTAATTTTTTATTCGCAGAAGATCGAACAAATTTTTATCAAAAAAGAAAAAATTAGCAATGATATACAAAATCGTTCTAGCAACTGGCTTGGAACTCTGTTTTAATTAAAATTGGAGAAAAATTTTGCACTGTTCAACACCGTATATCGTGTTACTCTACGATTTTACACAGATGTACCAAGCTGGTTATAGAATTTTTTTAAATGCTATTTTACGATTTTTTTTTTTGTATATGTTGACCTCTCGTGTCATTTTACACGTATAAGAGGTCGATAAAGGGTCGATAATTTTCTAGATGCTTGTATAATTTATTTGATAGGAAAATATCAAACAGTTTAATACGGTTTATGAAACTACTACGATTTTTCAGCTATTTGATTACAAAATACAATTTTGTTGTATAAATTGATCTCTCGTATCAAGGAAAAGCCATTGAATCCTCGATAATTCTCAAAATATTTATATAATATATCCAACTCGATATACCCATTGATTTCTAAAATTTCAAGATTCTTAATTTTCTTTCGAAATTAATTTCAAAAAGCTGTCAGGAAATAAAAATTGAATCTCCTTCTTGTTTCTCGAAGTTAATCGATATCGCACACGAATTTCACAATTCTCCAGTTTCTATAACTTACCAATTTCAACTTACCCTCTGTATCACTACTTTCTCTTAACAATCCATCCCTTTAAAAGCCCCTTTGGTAACCTGTATATCTCGGCGAAGAATCGACGTTGCCCGATGCCAAGTTCAAACGAAGGCCGAAATCCGAAATCCGAATTACAAACGTGGTCGAAGCGAGGTTTGCTCGGGGAAATATTCGCACTTGCCGAAAGAAGTTAGAATCGGGGCGACGAGGGGGCGGGCGGGCGAGGGGGCCGATGGTTTTTCGCGACGAGCGGGAAACGAGATTTCGCGGTCGCTCGGCGTCGAGATGGCTATGCCAGAAGCGTCGAGCGTCCGTCAAAATTCAGAATATTCACGTCGCCACAAAAAATATGTGTAATTAAAACTCGACGCTCCGGGGGATGCTCCGCGAACGCCGAGGGAAAAGGGTGAACACAGCGACGAAGGCAGAGGGGAGGAAACGATAGAGACGTCCAGACGACGCGCGCCACCAGAAAGGTTAGAGCACGGAATAATCAGCGGCTCGAGGACCACGGGGAACCGTAACGATTTCGAGCCGGGACGAAACTGTTTCCCGGAAGTACGCCGCGTTCACTCACGGTTAAGGCGAAGATCCGAACGTCTGAGACTCGATTTTTCCATGCTTTTTAGTCCGCCTTTGAATTCGTAAGGAGGATCACGGTTAGAGGACGGAAGAGCAGGGATGAGGAGGATAAATCGGTTGACGAGAGGTTGGAACAAACGGTATGGAATATACACGAGCAGCGGGCAACACGCGACCGCCATTTTATTTTCTTCGTGCGAATTTCCATTCTGGGTTATCGAAGTTTCGTTTTTGATTCGTTGCACCCGTCTTGGTAGTATTGTTGTTATAAATGTGCCATCCTTGTTGGGTTCCTATGAGGGATATTTCAATTTAAAATTGAAGAAATTTGGAAAATTTTGTTATTTTTGGGTTTGGGAATTTAGGAGTAATTATTACGAAAGCGTGATTAATTTTTCTTGGATTCTTTTGAGGAATATTCAAATCTAAAATTGGAAGAGTTTTCAGAGGTTTGAAGATTTAGGAATAATTGATACGAAAGTGTGGTTAAATTTTTGTTATACCCTTTTGAAGAATATTCGAATTTAAAATTGGAAGAATTTAGGTGATTATGTTATTTTTGTATTTGCGGTTAGGGAATGGTTCGAGAATTTAGGGGTAATTATTACGAAAGCGTGAATAATTTTTCCTAGATTCTTTTGAGGGATATTCAAATCCGAAGTTCAAATAACTAGAAAAATTTGGATATATTTGTATTTGGAAGTAGGGAATGGTCCAAGGATTTGAAGCTTGAAGAATTTTGGATGGGTAAGAAGTTGGGTGTCGTTTGATAGAATTCGTATCTCCAGTTACCGATGAATTATTAACGAATACTTTGATCGTATGGAATATTCTCTATGTATCTTAAAAGTTTGCTGTAACGCCTTTATTCCTGTCGGGTATTTCAATTTTGGTCCTTCGCAAAAATATTCGCGAACTATGTTCGTTTAATAACGACACGAAGCTTTATTCTTTCTCCTCTCGCGAGTGTCGATAGAAATTTATATAGCGAGTAAGAAATTACCAAAATATTCCAATACTTATAAACTCGTGGACAACGATTTATCTTTTTGACTTTCCCCTTCGAAAACATCTTCTCTGTACACGAAACTTGAAAGCTCATCGGTAACGATATATTCGTTTACCTTTCCCTTTACTCGAGATCAGGAGCTTAAACCAAGGAACATAATACTTGCTACCTATAGTCCTCGTAAATCACGTTCGCATTCACACCGAGGCAGAAAGTTGGCGAATGTTGGGAAAAATTTGATTACCCGGTTCGCGGGGCCGGCGTTCTTAAATTACCATGTTAAAACTGAGAAGAACGATAAAACCGAGATTATTCCCCGGGGCAGTCCCCAAAGGCGTAATTCCAGCCTCTCATACTGATTCCCCAAAACCATTTTCAGAAGCAAATCCGTCATCGCGTATCTGCAGCCCCAGCGCAAACTGCTAACCCCCAAGATGTGCGACAAACGTCTGTGCGCCTGCGAGAAGAAGACGATGCCAGGCTTCATGAGCCCGAGCGACGAGCGTGTGAAGGCCCTCGAGCAGGCCTACTCCGAGTTCGCGAAGATCGATAGCAAGTCGCTGCTGAAGAAACACTTAACGCAGCAGGTGTTCGATATGCTGAAGTGTCGCCTAACCAACGCCGGCTCCACTTTGATGGACGTGATCCAATCTGGTCTAAAGAACCCTGACTCCAACGTCGGCTTGTACGCGCCTGATCAACACGCTTACGACGTGTTCGCCGCCCTGTTCGATCCCGTGATCGAGGAATATCACGGTGATTTCACGTCCACCGACGTTCACCCGGACCTGGACTGGGGTGAGCCTGAGCAGCTAGGCGATCTGGATCCCGAGGGACGCTTCGTGATCTCGACGAGGATTCGTTGCGCCAGGTCGGTCAACGGATATCCGTTAAATCCCACCATGACCGAGGCTCACTATAGAAACCTGGAGGCAAAGGTAACGACAGCATCGAATGGTCTATTGTAATATGAACGGAGATCTCCGGGTTTTAACGCTGGCTGAAAGGGGGATCGCTGAGCCTTTCTTGTTTTGCATGGTAGTGGTCGAGGGGGATTTTTCGATGGTTCTTTTCAACGAACAGTCGCGGGACAATGGGCGAGATGTAAGTGACGAGCGTTCTGAGATTGGGAGAGAAATGTGCAGCAGGAGGAAACACATTTGGAAGTTTCTATGATAGTCTACCTTCTTTTATAGAATAGTATTATACCGTTAAATCACACCGTTGGATCTTTAGACATTGATTTGAAGAGATATCGCGAGGGATTAAATAAGCGGAAAGCACTGTGTCGGATTTTGTCAGAGCTTATTATGCACGAGGAGGCCTTTTCCGAGAAAACCGTGTCGCTCTAGGGAAAATGGTTCAAATCGCATTCTGATCGCCAACGAACTGCACTTTCTCCAGCCCTGGCCCACGTGTCATGGTCCGCGAGTCATGGGGGGTGGTCGTAAAGACATAAACCAGGCCCCCATTGACTCTGGACCCTTGACGTCGCTACGAGTGGAAAAGTATCTTCCTTCTTCTTCCGTTGCACAAATTATGTTCACCGTTGTGTTCAACAGCAACGCATACAAATAAGATCTTCCCATTTAAAACTAAATTTCTCTATTCCATCAGATGCATCGATAAACAGATTCCTCTCGAAACTCATTTCTCAGCCAACTCTGCTTCCCAAACGGGAACAGAAAGCGAACGGGGTAAACCCTCGAGTTAGCCCAGTACACCTAGCTCGATTCGTCAACGCGTCAACAAACGAGCGAAAACGAAAATCTAGCGTGAAGAGAGGAAAGAGAGAAAAGAGAGTGCGAGAGAACAAGGTCGATGTCTTTACGGTGCACGGTTGGTTCACTCGTTGGTAGAGTTAAAATCAAGGCGAACAATGTGCACGTAGCTAATTGATTTCTGCTAGCTGGAAAATCCTCTCGTTTCGTTAAGGCGTATAATTGCTTTTTCTAATCGCGTTTCATCCTCTTTGTCGGGCCAGATGGCTGGAGCAGAGGCGACTATATAAATTGCCAGTGCAAAAACAGCCAGGATCTAATCTGTTTACCCCGTGAATCTCTTTCGCTAACCCTTTTTCAACTGACACTCAGTTCCTCTTTTTCTTTCTCGTTACAGGTGCAGCAAGCCTTGAGCTCGTTAGACGGTGAACTGAAAGGGACTTATTACAGCCTGATCGCGATGGACAAGGAGACGCAACAACAACTGATAGACGATCACTTTCTGTTCAAGGAGGGCGATCGATTTTTAGAGGCAGCCAACGCCAATAGGTTCTGGCCAACCGGTGAGTAATGATCGTTCCCCACCTACATCGCTCGGCCAACTTTCTTCAAACTTTAACACATCGATCGAGATACCCTTTAAAACTGTTCGAAATTTATCGTTCCACGGATCGTTCCAATCCCTACTCTAGTTCTCCACCCACCAACCTTGCGTCACCGGCGTCGAATCTTGTTGTGGCCACTGCATCCTCGAAGAGCGACTCGACGATGCCCCGGCTCCACGGGACGCAGATTAATGAGTCTGATGGAGTCGTAACTTTTAATTTTATTTTACCACGCTTTCAGCCAGCTGCGCCCTTCGCGTGTCGGTAATTAGATCGCTAGCTAGCAGCAAATTCGGTGCTTCGCACGGATATTTGCCTGGAATTATTAGCTTCCTTTGTCCGTTCCCTTTATATGTCTCTATAGGCTAGCTATAAGGTTTCTGCTCGAATGCTTTTCCGGTTATTCTTAAGTTAATTCTCGGCCTGCTCGGGTCTCTTTAGCGTGGAAAATCCCATTTTTCCTTTTTATATGTCTATGGTGGATCTAGCTAGATTCGATGTTCAACAGCTATTTCTATCATGCTGCAATTCGTCCAAGTGATTCTGAATATTACGAGGTTTGGCTGCTCACGACGTCGATTTCCTGATTTACAGATTTTCTGTCGGCGATGGAAATACTGGAGAGATTTCTGAGGCTTTAACGCTAGGTGATCCAATCTGTATTATTTTTAGGTGACAGAAGAATCTCGGTGACTAGGGAAGTCTGATTCTTACTTAACGTCGTAAGCGATGGATTTTGATACGAGGTTAATTATGTTATAATTCAATGCAACGAGTCATTTCATGATATTCCTGTATCGCTAGAAGTACAAAATTTTTAATTCCGACGTCAGATTAATTCGTCTTCTATTTTATGCCCAGGCTATTTCTAAATGAGGGTGTTCGAATCGCGAATTTATTTATTGATTATCGATTTATTGATTGACGTCTACCGTGAGGCTGCTCTCTGCTCTAGGAGTAGATATGTGAAACTGATGTATGTACTTCAAGGAACGAGCTATGAGACTATTGTACTATCTCTGGAAAGGACTTCGAGACTGACATGCTCGTTGAATGAGGATCTACGAGACTGGTTGCGTCGAAATGTACATTTCCTTGAGGAGTCTTTTCACAAGTTCGGTCGACAGCACATTTCTGTGTCGCGTGATTGAGTAATGCAGTAATTTCTTAACAGCCGAATTTATCTGCGAGAATCTCCGATGGGAACGAAAGAATATTTTCTCTAATAGTATATTATTATTATAATAATATAATATAATATTATTTTCTAATATACCTAGATTCAGAAAAGAAAAGAAAATACAGAAGACTTCCAGGAGTTTAAAATTAAATTTGAAATTCGAAATTTAAAGTCAACAATTAATCGAGATAAATTTTAATCGAACCAGCTTGATCCAAGTCCAAGTCCTTCATCGCCTGTGTCATGTTTCTTGAAGCTGTGATCGAAAGTTCATATCACATACGTAGCTATAGATTGCATACATTAGTATGATAACGTACACGTGTGTATCTATCCAACTTAGGGTCGTGAGTCCTACTTGCGAAAGTCCTACTTGCGAACTTGTGAACTCTTCTGAACAACAAAAATTACTCCCGATATTGACATACTTAAATCATCCTAAAAAATGTTAGTTCCCAGCAGCGTTCGGTGTGCCTTTGCTATTACAGAAGTTTCTTACATTATCGATATCCTTTCTATATTTGCTATCCAGGATTGCTATGTACTAGATCCAAGCATACGAAATGTCCTCTGGAATAAAACTTTGACCTCGTAGAGTCTCCTCGGGATTTTGCGAGAAACTAGCAGGAGCAGTGGAAAAACCGGGAAACATTTTCACGTGTACCCGACTAATATAACAGAAGTTGTATAACAAGAATCGAGGTGAGCGAATTCGAAATAATCCGGAATCGTTCACGAAGCAATTCCCATAATCTTCGTCCTCAGTGAGCTTTAAACTTCAAATTACTTTTAAGTATCTCCCATCTCGTCTTTTTAACCTTCCATTCGTTTGCCGACCGATTTTTCCTTCGTTTAATCCTGTCTTCGCGAATTAAAACCGCGACTATCGACGAGCTAATGCCTTTATTCTTGGCTCAGACCACTGTTGCACTCACAGCATGATTAAATATTAATCTTGTTGCCACTTTCTGCTACCTCGTTGGACAGTGACATGTTACGAATTAGGATAACTGGTCCCATTTTGTAGTCACATGGAATCTTCGTCCTCGTGATCGATTAACATAAAATTTCGAAGGCAAGAGATCAATAGCCTTTCTATACTCTGACAGCTGACTCAGCACGAGTAAATTATACAATAGTAAATCAAAGTTTTCGAAAATAGTTCCATCGATTTTTATATTTGTAATTTATGCTGAACCACGAATGAAATTATTATTAGCCAAGTATAATCGATTCAATGATATACTGCCATCTTGATTTCAGACGCGGGATTAATGACGTTAATAATTAGTAAATTATTAGTATTTTAATAATGTTTCGATATTTTCTCTATTATTTAAGTTTCGAATGTATTAAGGGCTAATTTTCAACGATCTTAAATGCCTCGTACCGAGATCATAATCGCTCGATTGATTTTTCGCGACAAAGTCTGACACGTCTTGCTCTGCCGATTAAGGGTCCTCGCAGCTCGCTTAAAACATTCAATTACAATGCCGGAAGTTCCTTCAGCTCGTTTGAAAACATTAATCCACGGTAAGCCGAATGCTCGAAATTGGGCGGTTCAAGTTTAAACGAAGATTAAGCCAAAAGTTTCTGGGATTAGGGGAACCCCGGCGTTGGACGGGTTAGCGAAATGGCGGCTTGACGAGTGTCACGACCGGTCCAGCTGTCTGTTGATTTTCACCTCGATTTTATTGCTCGTATGAAAACAATTCGATATTTTTCACTGGTTTTTCGATCGATCATCCTTAAAAATGAATCGTTTCGTGGTATAAATCATGGAAGGGCGAAGGTTGATTTAAAGAAAAAAGAAATATCTGTTCAAACGAGACTGCGCTGCCAGCGCCGTCTGGCGGAGGATTGGCGAGTGAGAGAGACTTTGGGCCGTGCGTGTAAACCCCGGGGCCTCGTGGCAGAGCGTCGCGAGTGTTTGCACGGTGCAGTGCGTGTTGTTTATATTTTATTTGCATTATATTTATCTTTGCCGAACTCGAATAAACCAAAGACTGCAGTTGACCATATAACTAGCAACGAAGTGCATAGTTTCGTTAACTTGAGTGAATTTCGTCTTTCGAACCACGTAACCTCAACGTCATTAATCAGTAGACTCAGTGGAATTGCTGTTCGTGATTCTGAATTCGTTATAGGAACAATGAGACTGTCGTTTATATTACGAGATATTTGTAATTAGTTTTTGTTATTGGTTGAGAAAAATAGTTAACTTTGGTTATGTTGTGTTCTACTGTGGTTGCTTCTATCACCAATGAAGACTCGTCTCGGGGTCCTGTCCATCCAACAAATGGTAATAACTATAATATTTATGGTATATCTATAATTCAAGCATTTACTATGCGAATTAATTTGTATCGAAATTTCAAGAGAAAATGACGCATTAATTATTTTTATGCGATATTCGATATAGCGTTTCTCATCTGATTTTTATATCACGTTGGAGACATACCTATAAAATATGAATTAAGGTTGAAATATTTTCCAATATTTCCATATTTCCCAAATTCAGGCCAATTATTGTAATGTATTCTCCTAAACCATTCCCATCATTAATTCTGTCACCTAAAATAATCAGCTATATATTTATCCCCATAAATATGCCTCTCGGAAATGTCTCTCTATTATGCCAATAAAATTGGCAAACTAGTTTTCATCTCCTGACACGAAAGTCTCGTTCTCATTCCTCGTGGTTTTATTCAAAATTTTGAAAGTTAAATGTCCCTAGACAACACCGTGACATGTCATCGTACGGTGTCACTCGAAGTTTCAAGAGCCACGGGAAAATTTAGTATCAGGCTTAATAGACGCGAGATGGCGCACTATTTACCGTGAAACACCATGGCGATTTTTCACGGGGTTTCGGGGTTATTTGGTCGGTTGAATCGGAACGCAAACCGAGAACGCGGACAAGCAATGGCCGCCTTGCGGTCCATAGCTAGCCAGAGAGTCGGCTAGGGGTCCCGTGATTAAGTGAATTTGCATTAGCGATTTTCATCACGATGGCCTTGGGAAATCTCTTTGCTGCCGAGATTAAACGGCTCAAAAGGGTTAAGGGATATTAAAGAGGCTAGGCCATGTACAAGGGAGAATCAGCCATTCGAAGGGAGTTTTCAAAGCTAACCAAAGAGGTCTCCTCCTCTTATCTTGAATACTTCGTCAACGTAACTTATTGCCTTTTAACCGGTTCCCTGTCTTCGTAATTACCGCTTATGTTATCATAAACCGCAGACATCACAATGTATCGTGACGGTTAATTTCTAACTTTGTCTACCCACCTTAGGCCATGAGCTATTTTCCACGAATTTTCTTAATTTTGTTTCCCATCGAGTGAGTCTTTGACTCTCGAATTACACATATTTTGATAGAACAGTTCTTGCTAGAATAGGGATTGCTAAGAAAATAGTATGAGACACTCTGTGCCCATGTTGACGGTACAAAAATGGTATCATATGTAAAAATTCTATGACATGTCTAGGATATTAGAACGTGGACAATAATGGATGGAAAAATTCTATAGTATAACAAGGACATAATGAACATAAGAGAGGCAATGTTTAGGGTGTTGGAATTCTAATCCTTATCACTAAAACTACACTGAATAGCTAAACATACTACATAGATGATAATAATCGAAGTGGAATCATGAAGGTAAATAGGTATAGATAACCATGTTTGTATCTCAACAAGAGTGAAAATTTTGTCCAAAGTCGTCTCCTCAGAAAATGTAAATTTAAAATACCTGAAACCATTTTCACCCCTTTGATATTCCAATCGTCAATCGACCAAGGCAAAGCCTGTTTTCCTAGTACATGATTAATAATTTATTCACGACCAAGATATAGTAGAACTTTTACGACTGTTTATGTGAAAGTTTGGAATATGATCCGATCTTCTTTAAACAATGCGATCATCCCTTTGACGCGTATGCATAGCGGGTTATCCCAGAGGTTCCTTCATCCCCTGTTCCAAACGAATATAATCGAACATTTCATTCGTCCCTTTCGGCTGTCATTGCACAGCCAACTGTCGCCTTTGTTTCTTTGAACCCCGCTAATAACAGATTGCCTTTGCGACTGACCACCGTTGCTTGTTATTTACGAACTGTTTCTCCCTGTTCGATCAAATTATTTTTCTCCCTTTCAGCGCACGTTCCCCGTGGAATCGTGTTACGAACGCTTGCATTCTGTTTCATATTACCACGAGTATAGAGACGGGAACGATTTTAATCGGAGCTTCCCCCTTTAACGCGAAAATCTGGTAAACATCGACGCCTTGAACCTATATAGGGGTGCAGCGAGTCGCTTTACACTTGCGAGACTAAAGGGTGCACAGGGCTGTCGCAATCTTCTGTCACGTTATTATTAGTTCGTTGTTCGAAATGGCGTTTCGTAAATGGGACGAATTTATTTCCCTTTTTCGAGAAATTTGTTGTCGAAAATGGACAGATATTTTTCTGATAGTTTTTGAGATTATTAAAATGAAATATATGTTTCTATTTTTTTTTTAGGTAGATTGGAGTAGGTAGTACATCTCTTTTGTAACTTACTATTTGCTATTTTACGTCCATTCGTGAATGTTGAGATAAAAGGAAAATTGGAAATTAATTTTAATTTATGGGAGGAAAAATTTAGACTATATGAAATAATATAAGTAACACATTGTTAGAGTAGTATTATGTGATTAATTATCAAAATATAGTAGTTTAAAAGATTGGAGTGTGGTTATAAAAATCTTCAGTTTCCCAAAAAGGAATATTTTATTTGATATTTTATCGGAAATTTTTAAGCATCTATTATTAATTGTTTCAATATATTTTCGTACATGTGGTGTGATAGTACATTTCATTTGCAATATATTTTATAATTTGGAAGTATACAGATCCCACAAAATTTCATCTTTGTCCAGTCTTCTCAAATTCGGAAATTTCGTTTCTCGTTTCAAAATTTTTCAAAGACGCTCAACATTCGTTTCATCTATTGCTCTCTCGTTTAATAGTATCATTATCGACATTAGGTTACTATGGGTTAAGCAGCTAAGAAAAGAAGTCGACCTTCTCGAGGTGAAAATGATTTGTTACACATCAAAGCAAAGGTTGGCTCTATATTTATAAAATTCGATGCTCTTCCACAGTTTCCCCACGATATGTAGAGGCTGATTTATACGAAAAATGTCACAAGTTAAATTTGGATAAGGGTGCAACTTCCAGCTTTTCCCTTTGAAATGCTGACACTGTTGCGTTATAAGCAGCTGAAAATGTCGTTCAAATTCATACCAATACTACGTGAACCGTACCTCCGTGTGTTATATCGCTCAGAAAGGCAGCTAATAATAATCTGATAAACATTATTGCAGTCTGCACGAAGGAGTGAACGTTTCTTGAATAAAAATGCCCATGTATATAATTCCTTCATAAAAAGAATTCGTATCAAACGCTGCTATTACTCGTAAAACGAAGCTGAAATTCAAGCAAACGAGCTTCACGAAATAACTCACGAATTTTACTCCTTTTCAATTTTACGTAAATTCTATTGCCAGAAAATACCCCTAATAATTTCGTCGAATTTTTATTTTCGAAATATCTATAATATTCGTTTTAAATCTCGGATTCAGGATTAATATAGTACCAAGTGTCGATAAAATCTTTTACCTGCAAATCAAATTTTTGAGTTAGCTTCCAGAGTGGTCCTAATTTCATAGTCGTCAACACTCGTTGCGAATTTTTCATTTTTCGCACTTTATGGAGACATTGAAACCCGTGGTATAGAGATTCGGAAGGAAAATTTGCTATTCCAAGCACAGTCTCCTGGTTTTCTTGCGCTTTTCTTCGTAAACATGGCCGCGCGCGTCGCAGCCAGAATGGTACATTAATAATTCAATTCCGCGTTGCTCGAGGCAAATGGAAACGCAATGTGGTGCAGTGTAACCGAACCACTTTCGATTATCTTTAAATCGACACTGGATTTCTCCTCTGTAAATCATGGACGAAAAGATATACGGAAAAAGGGGATAAAAATGGCACTTGTAAGAACAGTTTCATAAACGGGTGGATTAGTCATTTAGATATTGAGTTTTCTCCATTAGAAAGTACTTCGAACGATTTATAAAAAGATTTATTAAATTTGTATAGAATTTTTGTTTTGTTTTTTGGGAGTATTATAGAATCGAAAATAAATTAGAAGAACGACATATTCTGTGAATAAATTATATTATTTCTGTATCGTACTTCATGACAGTGAGTTATAAAAAATAGTTTTTACATTTCGAATAATTTTTGATGGTCCTCTCGTATTTCTGTAAATACAAGTTTCGTGTAATTTATTATACGAAGAAATATTTCTTCTGGATTAAACCTACTCTTTCTATAATATTCCTAATATCTCCTTTCTAAATCAATAATTAAATTTTCAATTTTTCAGTAGGCTTGTAATTTTCAAAATCTTACAAATATCCCCCTCCTCATCGAATAATACAAAGCAAACTTTCAAACTTACCTCTTTACACAAACACTTTTCACTCTCTCCAATGTTAATAGTCGAATTAACAATAATTTCTGTACCATTGCAAAACTCATATTACCAAATTCGGATATCCAGAACGTTCAAATGCGTCTCTTGGCAATGAGTTTGAAACAAATAGGTTGAGTCCGTGGAGTACACTTACCTGTTCACAAGCACCCCATCTTCCAACCAATACATACCCACGAGCAATGTCAACGAAACAATTACCACGAAATTTCACACAGTCTCGCCTTCGAAACTTTGAACGAAAACGAAACAACCCCTTTGCCGACCCTCTTCTCACCCTCTGACGCGCTTGCTATCGGATTTCCAGGCAGAGGAATATTTTTTAACGAGGCAAAAGCTTTCCTTGTCTGGTGCAACGAAGAGGATCACATGCGTCTGATATCGATGGAGAAGGGTGGTAACCTGTCGTCCGTGTACTCCAGGCTTGTTAAAGCGGTTACCGAAGTCGGCAAGAAAATACAATTCTCGCGGCACCAACGGTTCGGCTTCCTCACATTCTGCCCGACCAACCTGGGAACAACCATCAGAGCCTCCGTTCATGCCCGGTTCCCCAAATTGAGCGAGGATTACGCCAAGTTCGAAAAAATCGCGAACATGTACAATCTTCAGGTGAGAGGATTTCAACCCCTATCTTTCATCTCTCCCGCCTTCAATCGCTCACGAGCTCGCATTTTGCCCAACCCCGGTAATTTTCTTTTTATTTCAATCTCTTCCATTTTGTTTTTTATTTTTAAATTGGAGAATTCGATGGAGAAGATTTGGGAATTTTTTAATTAAGGTCTCGGGATAATTAAGGTCTCTTAGGAATTTTGTAGTAACTCGAGGATGAGAATGCGAATAATTTTTCCACTCGGAAATGTTGATATTTTTATTTGCGAATATTTCTTATTTCAAATTTGAGAATTCAATGAAGAAAATTGGGAATTTTTTAATTAAGATTTTAACTTGCAGATTTTTTCTGCGACGCGAGGGTTAATTGGTGTACAAATGGTGGAATTCGAATAGCTTTCTTAGTTGAAACTACAAATTTTTTTATTTCAATTAAAAATTTGGTAATTGGGTAAGGCTGTGAAATTTTAATTAACGTCTCAGCTTGGAATCCAGTGGCGCGTGTTTTTCTTCTTGTGGAAGGCTGAACAGAAGGATCCTTGAATTTTCTTTGCCTCTTTTAGACTTGATACGTCTCAGATATATATATATCTAACTTATTTACGATTTTCGAAAAACTTCGTACGTATTGATATAATTTCAGACATTTAATCACATTGGGTACATTTGCTGTACATTGGGTAGTTCTTGTAGAGTTTATTTTTCTCAGAATAATCAAAATTGCTTTGTCACGCAGAATTTCAAAAAATTGACAAAGTTTAAAAAGAACTTTGAAAATTTACAATAGATACGAAATATCTTAAATTTTTAGCTTAGTTCTTTGCTTGGTATCAAAACGATTCCAATTACTAGGTCTCACTATATACCGGAGGTGGCTATGCATAGAGGGGCCTTAGGGGCCTTACAATGAACATCGTGTCTTATAAAAGGGAATTCGGATCGGTATACTAAATTTTAATACCCTACTTTCACAACACCGACAGTTTTCATTTCAAAAGACTCTAATGACTCTAATTTCCCATATAAATTAGGATTAAAAAAATATATAGAAAACGCGAACAAATAAAAGTTAATATAAAAGTCACGGCACGCAACTGAAATGAACGAATTATGCATACAGAAAACATATATATATAGTATTGACCACTTACCCTTGACCGTTGGCCACCCTCTTCGCACCACCACCCAGGCCCAGTGGGGTAGATCCGTCCAGTCCAGGGAGAAACATGCTAAAGAGGTTGTAAGCGATTGCGTGATCTATATATAGCTGTCGATCCACCGAAGATTGACGAAAAGTCATGGTCATTGCCAATTTTGTCAATAATGACGCGTTTTCTGCACCAACCAAGAATTTCCTAATTTTTTCGTTTTTATTATAAAGTTATGCTTTGAGCAATTTGTTATTAACAATTTTAATTCGTTATTTGAACCTCTTTACGTGTTCACTCTTTACGTAGTACTTAATTTTAGCCAAGAATCGTGCCTCTTTAAAGGAATTCACATTTTTCGGAAACTGCCAGTGATAGAGTAATTTTGATTATAAATTAATATCCACGAATGTAAGCTCTGTAAAAATCACCTAATGAATATTACAGATTAGGGAACTAGTTAAAATTTGTCGAACAGTGTTATAGATCAAAGTTTCAAGAATATTTGTTTCCATAAAAACGCGATATTTCAGTCGTTCCAGCCAGTCAATTGTTCTCACTTCTACGCCAAGAATGTTTAATTATTTTTCCGATAAATACAATATCGAAATGCCTTTAAACCGATGATAGTATCAAAAAATAAAACGTTGCGACGAAACAACTGGTTTTAAATAAAACCTATCCACGAGATGTCGCAGATTTCGAGTTAAAACAAAAAAAAAAAAAATTCGTTCAACGTCAAACGATTTACGCGAGAGTTCAAAGTAGCAAATCTCGAGCGAAGCAAACGAGTAAATAATTTCGCAAGTTCTACGCGATTATCGATGCCGAATCGTCGCTCACCGTCGATATGCTAATGAAACGAAACGCAACAAGTAACACGCCGGATCAATGTTAATCGTTCGTAGGAAATATTTATATCCTTCGCGTTATTGACCGAACAGCGGCGATGATGCTTATACAAATCCCGAGTGCATACAACGTAAACCATAGTTGCGTACAGGAACGTACAAACAACCGGTTATGAATATTCCGCTTGCGAGGAAAATATTTGATCTTCGCTGTTCGCCGGCGAAAAGGGAAAAGTGTATCGACGAAACAAGAGAAGAAAATTAAAAATCCACGAATCATATAAATACACAGTTGCACGGTATATAAATACACATTAAATTGATCGATAACGTACAATTATAAAATATTATTATCGATCGCAAAATAAATATACGAAGTTAATAATTATAATTCGTCCACGCTATATTTCTCCATCTTTCGAATATTTTTTTAGTATAAATTAATACGAATTAATTTATAATTCGCTTTCAAAAGTACCAAAACCAACATGGCGGTCTTCCTTTGAACTTAAGCGAGAAAATTTCAGTTTCGCGTGCATGTATTTTTGTTTTCTAAAAATTTAACCTACTCTCTCTCTCTCTCTGTTTCTTTCTCTCTCTCTACTGGTTGTATATCTTTTTTCCATAAGAATCACCATAAATTAATACGAATTAATATATAATTACCTTTCAAAAGTACCAAAACCAACATGGCGGTCTTCCTTTGGACTTAAGCGAGAAAATTTCAGTTTCGCGTGCATGTATTTTTGTTTTCTAAAAATTTAACCTACTCTCTCTCTCTCTCTCTTTCTCTCTGTTGGTTGTATATCTTCTTCCCATAAGAATCACCATAAATTAATACGAATTAATATATAATTACCTTTCAAAAGTACCAAAACCAACATGGCGGTCTTCCTTTGGACTTAAGCGAGAAAATTTCAGTTTCGCGTGCATGTATTTTTGTTTTCTAAAAATTTAACCTACTCTCTCTCTCTCTCTCTTTCTCTCTGTTGGTTGTATATCTTCTTCCCATAAGAATCACCGAACATTCCGACCATAAGATTGTCCTCTCGCACGCGAAACAAATATCCTTACTCATCCACACTCGTCCGTCTCTCACCCACCAAACCAATTCCACAAGTTTCACAGGTCTCGCGGACTTATTTACTTTCCTTTTTCCCATTTTTCATTTCCACCTTTATTGTTTGTTTTTTATTCCCGTATTTTTTCTTCCTTTTTTCTTTTTTTTTTCCATTTTTTCGCCGTCCGGACGGGCAACGCGGTTTTATTAAATTTCGCTGCCATTCCGTCGGTAACCATGGCGCGATTAAGAGTGACAAAATATGCCTGACGCTTCGCAGCAAATATCGAGCGGGGAAAAATGCGCGTCGAGCGGTTCCCAGCCGCGAGGCGTGCGCCGCTTTCGAAATTTCACTTTGAAGAAACTTCGTTCCAGGCTTCAAGTTTCCCGGAATACGGTTTACCTTTGTGCCCCAGACAATGGCGGAATTTGGATTGTTAATTCGGCGTGGATTGATTTTATCGTAGCCACTCTTGAAGATCATCGATGAACATCGTGTGCTTATCATATTCTCCTTTACGCGATTCTGTAAAATAATTCTCACCCATATCCCGAATTTTGAAAAATTGTCTTTATCTGGGAAGATACGTAATGGGAAAAGAAATGGTGCTAATTAAAAAACTATTATAAATATCATAAATAATATTCGATATCATTAAATTTTGTCACAAAAGGTGAGAACAATAAGATTCTTACAAAATCATGCTATGATTATAATTCCATTTCTTCTCACAAATTACTCAAATCGTATTATTTATTTAAACAATTATTTAAAATATATAGTTTCCAAGTACATTTTCAACAGTCAGTAATAAATATTTTTCAGTCAATCGTGTCTCAATGAAGATAGAAATGTATGAAATTGTTCCATCCTTTAATACGAATTAACACTGGAACTACCGATCTTTAATGGGTACCTAACTATAACGTGCACAGATTATAGTAATTTCAGCGGTACGATGAATATAAGTGAATATATTTATTACAGTTCTTTCTTAATACGAGGTGATACCAATTTTATTCTTAAAGCAGGTGTATGCGTTCGGTGATTGCAAAAAGGAAAATTCTGGGACCAGTCATTTTCATTGGGTTGGTAGTTCTAGTGTTAAAGGAGGAAAAATTGGAGATAGGACAAAATATACGTTCATACCGAGTTTCCGGATTCCGTGATATTCCTCGTCACTGAGTCTGCCTCGGAAATCATAGTAGATTGTTAAATTTTCACTTTCAGCTGGAGAAATGAGCGCGACCGCACGCGAGGAATGTATAATTAATTATTTGTTCGTTAACTGCCCTGTAAAATTTCAAATTTTCGCTTCTCCCTTGATACTAATTTCGATGGATTTAATTCGCTCGAATTTTCAACTTGCCGTGGCGCTACTACGTGTGAGCTGTTACATTAAACATTACGTTAAACGTTACAATGAAACGACTGTCGGGAGCGATTTTATTAAATTGCATTGCAAATCAAAATCGCGATTATAAATTACGCGTAATCGATATTTTTGTTTCCCTATTTTATCATCATTCTTGTCCCGTATATCACGACTCTTCCGTGCCGTTTGCTTCGTATTTTATTCCCGCCATTTCTTATCGTTACAATCCGCGTAATATACAATCGGTGTTAATTAGCCATGAAAACGTTCATACGTAATTGCACACGAACAAATGCACCTGTGAACGTTCCTTAGTGTAGAATTTAGCAAAATTTCGATCGGACCGGTTATTCGCTCGCACGTTAAACGTGCCATTATTCAAAACAATTGCGAAGTCATTTTCGGGAAATTATTCCATATAAAATGCACGTGACACGCGGAGGGACGAAAAGTTATTGGAATAACATGGCTGGAATAATTTCTAACGGAGAACGAATAATTATTCGCTGGATAAATTATGCGACTGAAATATCGCTGCTTGGCAAACTGTCTTGAATAAACGTTTATTCCATAGTGTTTAAGCTGCACTTAAGCATTCTGAATTCAGCTGATAGATATTCCCCCTGTCGATATATGTGTATATATACATATACATGGACGGGTAGATTAGTAGATTTATTAGCCAGAGGTAATATCCCCAGGAGTAGCATTGTGCGCAATTGTTGCTTAACCGTTGAAACAGCGTAAGTTCAGTGAAATAACCTAAGTAGCTGGGAGGCAGTTAGCACTAATCGCAGCAGACATAGTATCCCAGTTATTATTAACGTCGTAGCGAGTAGCGAATTATCAACGAAGCATTATTTTGTTATATTTGCATAAGTAGCTCCACATTTCCTTGGCACACTGAGATTAGATGTATATAAGATACTACGTATATTAATATTTGTATCTTATGTATTTACATAGAGCAATTTATTTTAATTCTCTTTAATTAGACAGGTAGTCTGTTTTAATTTCAGTTCACTGACCTGTGATAATATATTCATCTTCTTTGCCAAAAAGTTAAATAGAAGAACACCAAACAGAGTAGGTGCATATATATAATATTCGCATAGGTAGCCTTTGCGTGACAGTATTTATACTATTCCTAAAAATAGTGGTATGCAAATTGATACGATACTTACACAGTGATCCATCATAATTTTTCAACGTAATTTTATTTCCTTCTCGTTCAACGTGATATTACATACACGTTACATACTGCTCCCCTAAGATCACTGAATCGGCATAGGTATCGATGTATAGTAATCCAAGAGCCTCGAAAGGAAAAAGAAAAACACGCGCACGACAATGACTGCCCAATTATTTGCACGCAGGTTGACACGAACCCGCGAATTTATCAATTGTAAATTATCAGTTCTACAAATTTCGATTAGTGTCCCGTGACGCCAGTGATCACGATTATTAGCAACACGATCGAAGCTCGTCCCGTATAATCGCGCAGTGCATCAAACGAATGCACCGGAGCATATCAAATAGAACTTAAAATTCATTAAGCCTGCGATCAATTACGAATTCGTATAAAACATTTGAACGATGGAATATTCAGATAAGAGGGACCAGAGGCGAGCACTCGGAGAGCATAGGAGGCGTCTACGACATCAGCAACAGACGGCGACTGGGCCTGACCGAGCGGGAAGTGGTCTCCGAGATGAGAAACGGGGTGCTCGAGATGATCAAACACGAGAAACAACTGCAGGGGTAGCGGCAGTAATATCCCCCCGGTAGGAAGTCGATGAACGAGCTGCTTGAAACCGTTCCATCGATTTTACTTCGACTTTCTCTTCTTCTCTCCTTATAAATCGAAATATCTAAACCGTATCGATTAATGTTCTCTGCCGCGAGCCGCCAATATGTTTCCGTTACGGGGAACACGGGCGTTTCGCGGGGTGGTTATCGACAAGTCGAAGGGGTGCTTGTCTGTTTCGATACTCGAAACGTCTGCGGCATTCTCTCTCCCTCCGTCGGGGCTTGGACAAAGAAGTATCGACCCTTTATTAACTTCGGCTAACATTGTTGCGCGGCTCGTGATATCTTGCTTATTGTTACCCACGTACGTCGAGGAAATTGTACACGTCACACATGTGTGCGAATCAAACGTTAACTCGGGGTAAATTTGCTCGATTCAGCTCGATTTGGCTCGATTTGGCTCGATTTATCCCACACGCAAGGTCTTATCCCGAGATTTTTATTCGAAATTTATTTCCCAAATTTTATTCCCCGTTTATTTCGGTCGACCGGGTATTTATTCGAATCGGCTGCGCCATCGCGATAACGCCGAGGTACGACAGTCGTAAGAATTTCGTAGTATTCTCCGTGTCGCAATAAGCTACGTGGAAGCCATTCCAAGCACGTGGAAATCAAAAGGACCACGGTGTTTTCCGCAGCTGCTAGAAAATATGTACCATCACTTGCGGCACGCTAACCCCCTGGGACCTTATATCGACAACATTCGCTTTATGACACTCAATATTCACTTCTCTGACTTATCACATCCGATATTACATCCTCGGACACGGAGGACACAACGTCGGCGCGCATGGTCCCGCGGAATTTCATATTGATAACATCGGAGTTGCAGAACGCACGAGATTCCACACTGGAGGCAAGTTTTCGTCTCGACGATAAACTTGCGTCTTGGAAATTTCGTAACAGACGTGGACAATAGTCAAATACGATTTGAAAGGTCCTTGGGAGTATTCTGATAGCGACAGATGACCTCTGAGAATTACCGGAGGAAGCTGCAAATTCTTTGGACTCTTTCAATTAAAATTAGAAATACGAATAACGAAATGGTACCTAGGTGTAGGTACCAGAGGAACTTGCGGTATTAGGAATGCAAATATTTCGTTGGTCTGTGGAGAATCGGAGATTCTGAGGATGCCGGGGGTACACGAAGGTTTCAGGGGTACCATAGATATTCCAAGTATCCAGAGTTTTAACAGGTTTTACGAGTACCAGGTCTAGGAAGTTTCACAGATGCCGGAGATGTTCGGAGAGCATATTGATGTCTCACATATGCATGGTCTCCGAAGATTTTGAAGATGTCGATGATATTCTGAATCATTAATAGTCCCAGGAGTGTCAGAGGTATTCCGGGACTCTGGATCTTCCACGTCCAGTGGTATCTATGGATTCTAAAGACTGCATGGGTACCTAAGGATAGCTCCATAGTTATCAGAAGCAACCGTGTGCTTCAGAAGCTGCATCGGTACTCAAAACTATCCGAGTTTTCAGAAAGTTGCAAGGTCTTCGGAAGTTTCGAGGGTGTCAGGGTACCCGGAGTCTCGAGGTTCTCGTAGGTGACCTTGGAATCTCCAGACTTTTCAGAATTTAAAAATTCGAAGTATCAAGCACAGTGATATTTGCCAAATTATTTTACTCATTTGCACTCATTTTAATATCTAACGATCTCTTATGCTTCCAAGGTCATCTTTATTCCCTTTTCACGTCCATTTTTGTCATAAAACTGTACCTGTTTATTTTTTAATTATGATCTTTTATAATTTACAAAAATCGTATAGTTTCGCAAGCTCCCTCTGTCAACGTTTCGGCTTCTCGCAGTGGAAATTCGGAATTAATTAGGACACTCTCAGTCTATCTCGCAGAGCAGGTGTCCGAGGCATTTCTTAGAAGCGTGAAAAGTTACCGCGTAAAATAAATATTCATTGGATAAACCTGGAGTTCACGACACCCCTGTCTCGCGAAGTTAAGATAACGGTGACCTGTGCCATAAACCTGCCATGCGGGATGCTCGTCGTGACGCGAAGTCTGCCGACCCATCGACGTAGAGTGTTACGTACATCTTGAATAGCAAGTGGAACGTATCGGTGCTATGGCTGACAAGTGAACGGTGTAGCGAAGGCAATAACGTAACCATCGGTTCCCGAGCCCTGTTAACCTTGGAGCCGTCATTAACAGATTCCACGATACATGTCTCGGAGTCCTGCAGCCACTTCTTATCAGAAATATCTCCCGTGGTTCTAGATCCTGTACTTGGCTAGTACTTGAACGGTCTGCAGGTTACGACGAAACGTAGATCTTCCGAATAGGGGTCCGGAAATACCGATTATCCTCCATGCCAAGTTCTACCGATGCTACGTATGTTATGTCGCTTAACATTGGAACTACCAAACCCATATTTGAACTTTAGGTTGCTATTGTATAATATTGGAAGCATATAATGCAATTGAAAAAAAGAAATATAGAGTTTGGTATAAAATCAAATTTATTCGGATAATTTGTTGTTGCATTATTGCTTTCGTTATTATTTTCTTAATTACTATGGATATACGCGTGCATTATATGTAGATACATATTAAAGATTGGTAGTTTCAGTGTTAATATGGATTATGTGTGCATGAAAGTATTGTTCTCGGATTCGAAATTTTTAGTGTTTTGAATTTAGTGTTTTGAGTGTATCGTACCAAAATGGTAATATCTATTTTGTAGATCGGTTTCACGTTCTTCTTTGTTCACTCTCTTATTCCGGGAGATACATTATTACAGCTTGAACACTCCGACAAGTTAAATGTTATTTAGCACCGAGAACCTGCTATTTCTGACACCATAAAAATATTCTATATGTGAATGTGTCTAGGTATAACAGTAACGTGCAACGAGACGCCGCTGGTGTCCTGAGTCTGACAAGAGAATGGTTATGAGAGTTCTCCGGACGTCATTTTTCGCGTATATAAACTATTACGTGTTACAGTACCTGATGCTGTAAACGCCAACCTTTCCTTTGCTCGAAAGTTTCGAAATATATTTATTTGAGCGTGTAAAATAACTCTCTGAAGTTTGTCTGACATTTGGACTACGTTGAACCAAATATAATTAATTTTGTATACGCTGCTGTATTAAATTTGTTTATTCTCAGGTCTCTGTGACTAAAGTTCGTCTCGTCTAGAAAAGAGAAAGAATAATTGGGGTTCCTTGCTTTGATTTATGAATTAAAAAGGAACAATTTCTACAGGTTATTCGGTAGCACGATAATAAAATAAAATCGTGGAAATATAGATACACGTTTTGCCATTTTTAAATCACAGATCATTATAGGAAACAATACTCATTCCTGAAGTGTGCATAGGAAGAATATATTTTAATTAATTAGTTGACCCCTTGCATTGTGATTTAATTATGAAAAATTGTACATCGAAGAGGCATTTAATTCGAAATTGAATAATAGTTTTAGAAATTCTTCGAATTTTCTGCACGTTCATACGCGTTAAATGTAATCATGGTCGTGTGGTAAATGTAGCATGTAATCGTGAGATTACGTTGTAGCGTGTTGGGTTAACATAGTTATTTCTATACACGACAAATCTTGTTGAGAAGACTACACGTTTGCAGTATTTTCGTATACGGAAGTGTGATAGTTGATGTCACATCTCATTACACGTTAATGTCCAATTATTTGCTGATCTTCTGATTCTACATATTTCGTGGAATCATTTATGTTCGTTTACCAAAATAAATTGTCATCTCGCGTTAATTTTAACGTCGTTGATTAAACAAGATTTTCCCCACGACGTCTCTATTATTCCATCTCTGCAGCTCTCTAATCAGGGTTCACGGAGCCACTATGCGAAATCTTGCACGATTTGACGCGGAATGGCTGGTCGTACGTGTTCTCGAGAGCTCGATTCTCCCTTGGCCTCTCGATGCCATTCCGCTCTTTGGCCAAGAAGAAACACAGAGGGAGGGAACTAATTCACTCGGTAAACAATAATTCCGTAGAGATGCGCAAACACTTGACACTTCCAATTAAGGCAACGTAATTGCACGTGGTCGTCGGCTACTTTGTATCCAGGCAACGCTTAACTTATACCACGTTAGAAATTCCGGGAAGAATAAGTAGTATCCACTTATTTCTTCTTCCCTTCGACTTCGGGAAATCTCCGAAATCGGACGTTCCTTTCGCAATTGGATTTCGAAGTGACGAATTTTAACCAGAAAAGCTATATTGATAAAGACATGTCTGTTGTTGTTCCATTTTGTTCCTATTATTTTATTTTCATCGTTAAATTAGTCTCATCTGTCTTCTCATGGTGAACAGAGTTGTTTTATAACGATGATGACGAATCCATGACACGCGTGTTAAATCAGAATTATTTATTTTTAATTTTTAATAAATAAATATGTTAAAAATATGTCTTCTTTTTCAAATAGATCTACAAATAACAGAAAATTATGGATATTTTTGGACGCGACACAAAATCAGAGATAAGCTAGGTTTTTTTATGAATTTTGACACACCGAGCTCAAAAGATTCGTCATCGCTGTTTTATAATCTCATTTGTGCTTAAATTAATCTCATCTGTCTTTTCTCAGTGAACAGAGTTATTTCATAACAGCAATGGCGAACATATGACGCGCGTGATAAATCAGAATTATATGTTTTCAATTTTTAACAGATAAATATGTGAAAAATATAGATATATTTTTTAATAGACCTACAAGTGGCGGAAAATTATGGATATTTCTAGATGCGACCCAGCTCTCGCATTAAGCTAGGTTTTCTATGGTCTTTGACACACCGAGCTCAAATGTCCTCTTGATCTCATTTGTGCTTAATGTGCATGATGCAAGCTAACACCTTGCACTGAAGAATCCCAGTATACAGGATTAAATTAGAACTTTTGACACGAGACTTTATTTTTTATTAACAAAAATAATATAATACACGATTCTTTATTAATAATA